TAGTATTGTAGCATGAACTATTCCACGCCAAGACCCAGAGATTTCAGCAACCACATCTTTGTCGTCAATGTTTTTTAGTTTTTTTATGTCATCATTATGTGGATCGTATCTGAAAATTTTGCCCTCTATTGCGAATTTTGGTTTTCCAATCCATCGCTAAAATCATATAATATATATAAAATTAAATATATTTAACATATTTATCATAAATGTATATAAATTAAAATCAAATAATACCTCTTCTTTATATTCTAAAATAGCCTTCAATTTTGTTTTTGGACATGTAACAATACAAGATTCACCTACTACGATATATAAGGAAGCTTTCAACCACCCTTGAATGGAAGCCACTATAATCAAAGAAATCAAGTCAGAATATTCAAAATTTGTAGAATATACGATAACAAACAGAATGAACATTTTTATAGTACCAGGATGAGTTAATAAATATTCTTCATTATCTCTTTTAGCCAAGTTAATATAAATTCCTTTGTTTTGATCACCAGGACCAATTTTTACGGCTAAATTTATTAAAAAAAAGGGAATTTATTAGTCAAGATGTATATAACACTTAATAATAAAAAAATGAAAAAGAACCTACAAGTTCCTGTAAATTTTGCCGAAATTTGATCTATTCCATAAGCAGACACACCCGTTTCTTCACAGTGATAATGAAAAGCTGATACAGGTGGATGATGACTTATTTGTTCATTAAGACATGTAACTAGATATTTTTTTTCTGACGTGTTGGTTTTGTCATTATTTATGTAATGACCATTTTTATCAAATTTTGGAGCGGGTACATTCCAATGACATTTAAATTGTTCTCCTAGAATTGAATTATATGGTTTGACCAATTTTCCTTTCTAATTGATAGAATGACAAATTATTAATTATCAATTATAATTATTAAATTATTAATTATTAATAATTAATATGAACGCATAAATTATATAAGTGAAGAGAATACGAACCACAAATTTCAAATCTTTGGTATACCACCATCGGATTGCAGCAAGCATTCTCTCCAATGGGTCGTCAGAATCACCAATGCTAAAAAAAATAAAAAATTTCGGGTTAGAGATTTAAATAAATAAATAAATATATATTATCGACACTTTTTGAATTAATTGCATTTTAAATAAAGTTTACCAAGTTAAAAAATCAGGTCTATCATTATAATTCCAATATTCTAGATTTCCAATAGGTTCGAGAAGTTGTGATGGAAGTGAAATTCGCCTGTATAATAATGGGAATTACATAATTAATAATTAACCAAAATAAAAGACAAATATTATGGATCATTTACCGAAGGTTTGAAAAGTCCTTAGACAGGACCCTTTCGGTTAGATAGGCTCTTTTTTCATTAATAAAAAGCGTATCACTTCCTGATAATCAAAATGATTAACAAAAAGGTCCTTTTCAAACACCTGGTACTGTATAATGTTACTAATGACACTTACAATGAGACAATGTCTTTAACCCCGATTAAATTTTTCAAAAGACTAAACAAAGTCCTAAGTTTACTTGGGTCAGGTTCCGAATCCTCGAAATGAGCTTCACAATTAGTTACCTTTATGTGTCGTTCATTAATAAGGTGATCAAGATCCTCAAAACCGTCGTCATCATCAAATGAATACGAATTACTCTCGGTTGTAGATATGGTTGTAGATATAGTCAAAGTATCATCCTTCGAGAAATTATATTTTTTAGAAGATATTTCACTATCGGTATCCGAGATACTTATAGCAGAATCTGGCATTTTGACTAATAAATGTGAATATATGCTATGTTGTTATGATTTTTTATTTTTATTTTTGTTTTCAAAGAAATGAAGAAGAAATTTATATTTACATTAACGAGAAATTATTTCGTTTAAATAATAATTCTATTTTATTTTATTTTTCTTTAATTGATTATTAAGCTGCAGTTTTTTTAATGAAATAAATGTAAGAAATGGGAATCTTGAATGCTAAATGCGTAAAATTTGTCAAAAAATAAAATTTCGGTTAAAAACGCTTAAAAACGATAAGCTTGTCGGAGCTTTTGTTTCAAAATTTATATCAAACACAAAACACAATGTGACATGTAAATCTTGACTTAAATTGTTCATTTCATACATTTACGCAATACAAAGGATAATTTTAAATAGTGACACGCCACTGTATACAAATTTTATGATTGATAATTTAACACATTGATAAACATGGATAAACATATGGTACACTGTTTTCCTATTACCTATAGAAATGTGTTTGTGTATTACTTGTATTAAACAATTAAAAACTAGGTTCGTTCTAGTTTGTATTGTTTTTTATATATTAATTAACGTGAGGATCATCTAAATTTATTTAACTGGCCTACATTAACCGATGCAGGGCAGGTTGACCAATCCTTAATTCCAACGTTAGAGAATAATGAATTAAATAAAATAATTAACCAATAAAATAGTAGCTAAAATTTTACTTTTTTATAGGTTATTTCCTAGAAAAATCGCCGGTTGGTACAATACGTACGTACAGTACGTACGTATATACTTTTAAATGGGGATTTTCCTGGTTATTATCGAATTATCATTATGCTAGTTTTTCCAGACCTATGATAATAGACTGTAAGATTGGCAAGGATGTATGTTTGGGCATTAGGTTGTCTAGACGGACTGATCCAAAAATATGGTCGCTTATGTCCGAAAATCATAATATCCAAATTATATGAAATTTGACCAATAAAGTTGTATGTTTATACATACTATTTGAAAGATTGGAAATTATGAATTTATTTTCGGAAATTTAGGACAATCTGAAAACCAACTTTAATACATTGATCTACTTGCCAAGACTTTTTCGAAATCCACAAAATTCCAAATCCATCCCATAATAAAAACATAATAAAACCCAAAACATCATCAGATAGTACAATTTGTATAAAATTTATATAACTCTATAAAGTTATATAAATATTATATAAAATTTTTTATATAGATTTTCAAACCCAATGTAAACTTATATAGTTAGAATTTTTATATATAATTTAATATAATATGCGTGATTATAATCACCGCTCGATGCACTAAGTAAAAATGTTCTAGACCCCTAGTTTAAACTTTAGAATCTAATCCTAGCTTTATATAGGATATATAGAAATATATATATATATATATATATATAAATCTACATGGGTTTATAAAGTTTTTATTACATTCAATAAAATTCTACATAGCTTTACGTAAAAATTTTATATAGTGCTAGAAATACAATCTGTTATCCGTTTTCATACTTAAATTTAACAGATGTTAAACGGATATTCGGATATCTGTTATTTTTATTGATTTATTATTATTATTATTACAATTTTTATAAATTATTTCGGATTTTTGGATCACATCTCTGTTTTACCAGCAAGTATAATTAGGGTTAGAATATATTATCTTAAACGTAATAGCCATTATGATCTAATTTCAGTCTCATGTTTAGGAACGAATTAAGCCTTAACTGGATCCGATAATTATCTGTTTTTGGAATTATTCACTGCAAAGATTAACGTCATCGTTATCAGTTGCAGGGATTCTAACGGTTTTCAATTTAAACCATAACGTTATAATAAAATTGACAGGACAGGGCCACAAAACTAGACTTTATACGTAGTAATTATGTTTTGCATCATTCATGCCTCCTCGAAACCGACATGTAACAAATTTTGTGAATTTAAAAATTAAATACATTATTTCATAATTAACAAAAATCAGCCTGGAATGTGCAAATGTTTACAAATAATACAAATAATAAAATTTTACATATATATACTACGGTGCAAGGCTAAGTCCAATCGGAGAGCACTATGAAAAAAAATACCGTGAACCATAAAGTAGATCACCATAACAACACCTAAAAGGAATAAGCAAATAATTAGCGTTAACGTCAAAATTTGTACGTAGCCAAATTTGGTAAAAACAATTTATTTAACCTAACTACGTATATTAAATTTGTAACCATGCCATTTATGTGTAATAAGATATTAGTGTTGGTAAACAAACTTCTAATCTTCTCTGTAAATGATATGAAAAAAAAAATTTTTTTTTTGAAACTGATCACAGTTCTTGGGGTGCCTA